TAACGAGGAAGTTTGCCGCGGATTTATCTTTGCAAATCTCTTTAATTCCCTATATCTCTAAGTAAGGTTATGATGAAACATTCTAGTCACCAATTTGCCGACTAATTTTCAGGATTTGGTTGCCAAAGTAAAAAATGTAGTCACATTGGCGCCTGTATTAGGCGCAATTTCACGCCCTGCTAGAATGTTTAACCATTTGCCCATGTTATATGGCAGGCAGTACCATCTTCTCAACTGTTTTAAAACCCTAAATGTTGGTTGGATCTGGAGCTTGAAACCTTGACCTCCCATATGGCAATGCAGCGCTCTACAATATTAGTGAACCAAACTTGTGCTTTCATCTTGTGTGAAAATTGTAAATTTGAGGTCAATAGTGGAAATATTGAAAACTTGTATTTTAACTCATGTATTGAAAGCATAGGAAAAGCAGGTTACGTTCAGTTATTTAGCAGAAAAATATGATCAGAAAGAAATAAAAATAAACTTTTGGCAAAACCTTTCCTCTCTTTATTTTACAACAAGAGATCTCTACATCAGTTTGCCATTATAGAGGATTGCCTATATTCATCACACTCTCACCTTGTAAAGACAATATTCTAACAGGCAATTTTAAAAGTTTGGAATGTCCTTGAACTCTACTGGTGCCAACAGTGATCTTGTAAGAATATTTCACTGTATGTCCTTTATATGAGGGCACTCCATCAAACGGAATTGTGTCACTATAAAAATCTGAAACAGTCAAGATATCATGTATTCAGTGATATAATATTAAGGTTTCGTGATCAAAATGAAGAAAAAAAAAAAAAGGCATTACCCCTTCAAATAGCATGACCTTGGAATTCAAAATGCATCATGCAAAATATGTAATGCAATGCTGCTAATCATTTCATGTTTAGGGCCTGTTAGGAAACTTTACTATTAACCATTAGCTTACTCAAACTCAATTACAAAAAAAAAATCCCTGCTGACTGGAATTTCCCCCTCTCTGATTTGCAATCTGACTTTTGTATTTTTATAGAAGCCAAGGAAGCTATCAACTAATAAAGTAACAACAAGTGAAAAGTCTGTCATCAAGTGAATAATGGTATGTTGGACTAAAATTTAACTCTCTTTACTCAGGAATCATTGAAATGACAGATAAAGCAGACTAAGCTTACTCTATATTCCGAGACAATAATACATTGCAGTCATACCAGTATCAGTATTAGCTAAATTAGTTTATTAGTATCATAAACCTTCGGGGCATAATATGATTTCATTACAGTACTAGAGTCCCACACACAGTCAGTGATCTTGTTTCACGAAAAGATGATTGAAAGTCGGAGAATAATACTCAGATAAAATTTCTTCCAAGTTGAAGTCAATCTGTAGAAATTCTTCACTGTAAATATGCAGTCTCGGCGGACAACTCTAAACAAATTTTAACTTCGATTGATCCCAAAATTCAAACACAGTAGCCTTAAAAGAGAGAACAACTACGATTTAATTATGTGCAGAAGGTAGATATCTTTTATATAATTACTTTCGATAGGGAACCAATTCATGGATGAACGAACGATACCGTAAACAAGCACTTTCAAGTAATGAAATAAGATAAGCTTTTCCTTTGTTTTACAAAACAAAAAGGTCCGCCAGAACGTACAAGGAACAAAGCAATACCAAGAAATTCGAACGAATCGTGGGTTAGGAATCGCTCAGGAGTTTAAGAAATGGATATTACCAACACATTTGCAATACAACTTGCTGACTTTTCAAATTATCATTCACGCAATCCCAAAACTACTTCACTTCACAGGTAAAAGTAAACTTACAATTTCTAGATTCTCCAGGAGCAAGCTCCAGATCACAAAACAATATCTTCGGTTGCGTAGACAATAAACAGCGACCTTGTTCTCCTGCGACAGACATTTAAAAAACAAAACACGACATCACGATCAATAATTCACCATTTTCCGATCGATAATAGTATACCAGCAAAATCCAACCATAAATCATACATGCACCAAAGAAGCGTTTGTGCTCTAACCTCTTGAGGGAACGAAGCTTGTACAAGATGCATTTGCATCCGAAGAAATTTGGTTTAGAGTTCGATCCATTCTTGAATTCGTAGTTGGAAGAACAACCCGCGATTCGTTTACCGTACACTGGCAATGTATTTGAGCGCTCGCCCAAGCAAGTCTGTCCGTTTCATTGCTCCCATTTGAAAAATCGTTATTAACGTGATTACATGGATGACTGCAGGTCTCTTTCTTGCCATCTGCGACGTTTGTAAAAATAATTTCACACTCGATACATTCGCCAGCGAAGAAGACAGAACCACGGAGTAGGCGCACTTTCACCTCGATCATCGCAAATAAAATCAAGAAAGCATTTCTTCATTACCCATATGTTCTTCTTCCATTTCCAAAACTAAAAGTAAAGCTCTCAGGAATCTCTAAAAATATTTACGCCGACGATTATGTGGAAGATCGTTTCCGAGTGGAAATTCGCTATCCGCTGGAACCGCCATAATGTAACAGCGAAATGCTTCAACGGAAAGTAGCTGGCCAGTTGTGCTTGCGGGCGTCAATGACAAGCGGCGATCCGGTGAACGACCCGCGAATCATAAGTGTAGGATTGTGTCGAAACCAGTTTTTAAGTTTCTACCTTATGTTTTCTTCTGATTTCATTTTCAAGGCCAATCAAAAAGAGAGAACAACATCGGAGAGGAAATTAAGTGGTTCACTCGCCCTCCATTCCCATCGGTTTTAAGTCAGATTTTGTTATTTCCACTCTCTACTAAGCGTTCTAGTTCCAGACAGGAGCCCATGGGCTCCTGTTCCAGACCCCTTCTAATTTTTTTTCACCCTTTATGAACTACCCAAAAAAGAAACCTCACCAGACGGTTAACAAATGAAATAAGGAAAGATCCAACTCAAAATTATACAAGACAGAAAAGGATAAGATTTATCAGTTCCTAGCAAACAAGAACAGTTTGGGGTGCATTTTAACTTTAAAGAATTGGTCACTGAAACTATTGTCTAAGAGGTGGCTAAGAATGTTAATAGATTAAAAAAAGGCGTCAAAGATACGTCGAAATGGTGCCTTTGAGGCGACAAAGAAATGAACCTAATATCAGTTTACTCAAGAGCATACAACCTGGATATATTCTTCTAGTTTACATCAATGTGGCTAATAATCATCATTGAGATCTTTTCATGGAATGTTTTACACTTCTCCTAGTATAGCACTTTTATATCATTTGTTAAGGTAATGAAAAGAAATTTCAACAACTCTGCCAACTCAGACTGAGATTCAAACTTGTGTAGCGAAAGGGTGTGACTCAGCATGTTTACAAAGTCTCTCATTCTTGAAGAGGTAATTTCCTCAAACGTTTCTATAACTTTCTTTTGTTTCACATTGGTAACATGTTTATGTTCAGGGAGGATTAAATTGACTTCTGGAGCAATTTCCCTTAGCAAGCGGGATTAAATGTAGTCGCTACAGAGAAGAGTTTTCTCCTGTTTTAAGTCTCCAATGCAGCCTCCATGAAGATTTGATGATTCTTCTCTCTCGTTTAATTGATGATCACAAAGAGCCTCAAGTGAATCTAAAAGGAAATAATACAATTTCACTCTTTGGTAACTCCACATCACATCTTCTTTAAGGCATTCATCAAATCTGAATTCATTGACCGGGCGATCTTTAACTGATAAGAGTAAGCATTGAAGGATGTTTATCCTGTCAGAGAAAGCCTTTTTCCATAGCACTATAAATGAATTATTTGGGAATATTTGGTAATCTCTGTGGAAAAAGCTGCGCTATTTGTTTTTTTTAAAGAAAGTTGGAGGCGTTTAATTATGTTTAAGAGGCGTTTGCTCATATTGCTGCCAGACCATTCTTCATTCGTGGGTGTTGCTCCCATTCAAGTAACACCAAGGTTTGATGAAGCGTGTACGAAGAAATCCTCTTGCTGCCACTGTACTGATCAATGAAAGAACCTTCGTCATAATTAGCATATAGTTTCATCCACATTCTTACTGTATTGGCCACCTCAGAGATTACACTGACTCCAGGATCACGAATAAATTTCCAGTGAGAATTTTGGACGGCTTCATTCCAAAATGCATAATTCTCCACTTCTATGACAAGAAACAACATGTCACGCAACGCCTTCAACACTATTAAACACACCGTTGGCTCACCTGTGGGGCCAAATGGAGGAATAGCGCCTGCTCAAGGCATGATTGCAAACATTGCAAAGAAAAGTGATTTATGTCAACGGGCCGGTTACTTCTAACTGATTTCTTGAATTCCTAAAACAAATCAGATGACGAGGGCTCAATTCGAGTATCCACTAACGGCAAAGAAATACGGTAAGTTGTCAAGTAAGGAGGTTATCACTCGGCCAGCTGGGGTTTCTGCTTCAAATGGATAAATGGTTAATGAACAAGAGTGAATCTTTACAGCAGGAGACAATTCAACACTGATTGCTGATTACCAATCGTGCATAATGTTCTCCACTAGTCCATTTAAGCCCTACACTGTAAAAAGGTCCGTTTGTTTTAGATGCTGAAGACAGGACTTCAATTTCGTTCACCTATAGCTATCTCTTTAACTTCCCGGTTGGCTCTGACAAACAGAGTCTTAACGCTGATTTTCCAATCAAAATTAGGCCTCGGTTCCTTTGTAGAAACTACCCTTGTCGATAAGTGCTGTCTTGTAGGAAGGCCTCATTTTTTAACTTTAGAAGCAGACCTTCAAGAAAGTTTTCAACAATATCAATGACCTCCTAGTGGTATGGCCCTTTTAGTACATTTCCTTCCATTTTCATCAAGATCGTGTATGGACAAATCCAGCGATCGAAGACAACAACTCATTTTCTTATTGATCTGCCGTTCACCTGATGGTTTTTTCATTTGTCCTCGTAATTTATGGTGATTTTGAAAGGAAAAAAAAAAGACTTAAGACTAGTACAAAACTTTCTTTAATCAGAAATTGTTTTAGAACAGCCCTAACAATTAAGAAATACCTAAATCTTATTCACCAGTCTTTCATTTTATTAAGCAATATGACAATGTCTTCTCGAAATGCACTGAACAGAAATTCCAACAGCTTCCTTGGTTCGTCAGTTTTGTACTTGTAACTTGACCCTTCTAGTCTCCATTGTTCCTGGGACCAAAGACTGTAGCTGGGAAGATCGTTTGCACTTCGTCTCACTCGCGTCTCCATTCTCCGACGCGCTATTTCCTCAAATTGTTGTCCGGCTTGACTCAGGGACGTCGTATCTTTCACATTAACATCTGTCAATATTAAACTCTCATTTGGAGCTATTGAATTAAGCAAAGCTTGAACGTAGATGTTCCATAAACTTGTTTTCTCGTCAGTCCCCTTGTCTCCCAGTCCATGTGCCAAGGCATCTGAATATTGACAAACTGTTGCCTTACCTTCCTTTCTTAAGGATTTCTGAACGACTTCTTCCATAGAAGGATCTTGGAAGAAAGTGTCCAAGAAGCCACTTAAAAGTAGGTCGGTAAGAGATTTTTTGCGATAAATTATATCAATAAAGTCCTCTTTCAGTTTTGTCAAACATTCTTCGAAGTTATAAACGTTCATGTTGTCGACGAAAGATAAACCATCAAGGAGAATGGCGATTATACTGGCAACGTTTAAAAAATCCATTTCTTGAGTAACTGAGGAAGGGAAAATGTTGTAATCTGCGTAGAAAAAGCTTCGCATTTTTCTTTCTTTCAAGTGATCGACAAGACTACGAAGAATGTTGAGGAATCGCTGGCTTAGATTGTTTCCGGACCACTGCTCTTTTTCAGGGTACAGCTGCCATTCAAACAACACCAGCGTTTTGAGGACATAAGAAGAAAGCAATCTGCCGGTGTTTTTCAAAGTATTAGCCGCTGATTCGACGAAAAAAAACCAAAAACCACTATCGTTTGACCTTCTTTTGAATTCGGTAGTATCAGGAAATACAATGTCACGCAATACTTTCAGTAACCTAAGACACTTGGCTTGACCGCTGTCGAAGCCAAATGTCTGGCGAAATAATCCCTGCTCGAGGCACGAGTGCGAGCAACGTAGACAGAAATTTTCTGGTCGTGAATCGGCATCCCAATCAGCAAAGAAATTTGGCTGAACTTCTGTGAGCATGTTCCTGTACGCACCAACTGCATAGTAAAATGGTAATTTATCAAACAGAAGTCGAAGCACTCTTCCTGTTGGGGTTTCAAATTCAATGTCAGTGTTATCAGGTCGATTGTTTATCCTGACGGCTAAAGCCAAGTCAACGCTAATTTTTAAGCCTTTGTACCGTTCTCCGCCGTTCCATTCGAGCAACAGATTATATGCCGGTCCATGTTTTGTTAAAGGTGGTTGCGTAGACACGTTAGAGTAATAATCCCACGGCACTACCTTCATTCCGAATGCCTCAAAATCTTTCGCTTTCTTGTTGAAGATCTTATAAAATGGTGTCTTGATAGTCTTCTTCCACTCAAAATAGCCATACCTCAAATCCTGTTTGGAGTGAGGGAAAAAGAAGCAAAGGTCTTCCCAAGCTGATTCGTCTGCAGGGAACACCATCATTGTAGAACAAGGAAGTTCGTGAAAGTAATATCTCTCAGGGCCAGAAAAACTGTCGAGTTGAATGAGGAAGTCAAACTCATCTGGCTGTCCGACCTTGGTTCCCTCATAAAAGCTTCCGCTGTTGATCAGCGTCGTCCTGAAGAACGGATTTTCTCTTCTCACTTCTAGCAGAATGCTCTTTATAACCCTTCTGATGCGGCTTTGAATAAGACTGACCTCTTGGCAGCATGGGATTCTGCCTTTTCTTTCGTCTAAGTCTTGCAGAAAGAGATTTAGATGACCATTATCCGTCATTTTAACCTCATTTGGTTTTAGTAACAACCACTAGCTCGTCTAAAATGACGGAGTTCTATTCTTTCCGATGTAGTACTTAGTCCCTACTCCGGCAGCAAATTTTCATTCCTAGCGCCTCCGTTAGTATGGTTACCCCAGTCTACAGGAGAGGTAAGCCATCATATTCAACATATTCCGGCGCATAAAACTCATTTTCTTCCACTAAGGCCTGCTTGTTCGAAAGGATCGTATCTTTAAAAGCAAAACTTAAGGCACAAAAATGAAAACAGGAGTGAAAATTTGTTTTCATTCAGGGTTAGCTCACTCACGTTTTGAATAGCTCGACTGAGATTAACACAACTTTGTGACATAACACGAAATAAGGTCAATAATCTATCTAGCCCTGTAAACCATTGGTTCATCTAATGGAGTCTACTGGTGATTAACATGTAATTACAGCAATTTACTTTCGATAGGAATTTAGTTATAAATGTAGTTTGCTCTTTGTTCGCATCTACCGTATGTTGAATCAGGTGTGAATCATATACTGTTGTTCCCTTAACGCCTGAAAATTCGCGCTTTGGCAATAGTGGGATGACTAAAGAATTTTTGTTCAGTTCTACACCTAATTAGCAAGAAGACAGTGTATCTGTACATTGCGTAATTGAGAGGAAAACGAAAATGTCATTCTGATGTTTGGAAATGAGTGCAAACTGGTGTACGTCTTGTTACATGTCGTAAGTGTGGTCACATGGCATCAAGAGCATCCTCGCTTCCAGAGTACTCGTGTCCATTGGTGACTTAAACGGATAAATTTCACTGCTTATCAATAAAGTGGAAAAGATGTAGCCCTTCTCAATCTCTTTACCTCCTTTTTGACATTTACTTCGCAGACTTCCTTTGAAAAGGAACCATGCTCCTTAACAACGGAGCCGGTGCTCAATAGAAGGAGGGCCCGCCTATGGAAGCGAACAGTTTGATAATCTGGGTAATTTAGTATTATCAACTCAGTCGATAACGTAAATTGGCCCCCGTAAAAATTTTAAAAGCTGACGTTTCGAGCGTTAGGCCTTCGTCAGAGCGATTGAAAGAATTGTGGTTGTGTGTGGGTTTATATATGCAGAAAATGGAGCTACGCTGTTGGTGGGAATATGGTGACGAGAAAACAAGAAAAAATTAGTTGAATGAAAAGCGCTCGTTGATACCGTGAGGATTAAGAGTGTCGATTAACTCAGTTTCCTTCACATCCTCTCGCTCTTGGCCGCTTATCGTGGGAGATCTGGGTACTCGCCTGTCCCTTAGTGTTTAGGTGCATTGTGGGATACAAATTGTGAAAGCGGAAGTGAAGGAATACTTTTGAGCCCTCGATCGACAGAGTTTGCAGAAAATGAAACATGAACCTCGACGACTTAAGCCAGTCTAAAAGTGACGGGGATAAAGATGATTCAGTCCTTTCAGGAGGGTCCATTCATAAAGATGAGGCAATCTCTTCGCTCACCCCACTAGATCTGTTTCTACAGGACTTGGATAAAAACACTGCATTGATACCTCGCTGCCAAGAGGTCATCGACATCCAAATGGGAGTCGAAAACCTTCTAAAAGATCTTCTCCTGGAAGTAGAATAGGAAAATCCCTTCCTCAAAACAACACTTATCAATAGTGGCAGTTTCTATGAAGACACAAAAGTCGAAAAACCGAATGAGTTTGATTATCTTGTTCAGCTTGATAATTTCTCCGAGCCGAAAGATATTCAGTACGAAGAATTAGCTGGTGCTTCAGTGATTGTGATTCCCAGCCAGTCGAGTTTTGATAAACTAAGAAATCTATCAACTTACAAGAAAGTCCCGGGCAGTATTTCTTGTTTCGAATGGAAAACGCATGTCAAGGGACCGTTTTATGAAATACTTCGTGAAAAGGGGAATGGGTATGAGGGATATGGATTGCGTGTCATACAAGACCTAATCAAGCACGGCCCCGCGTGCAGTTTGAAGCTTCAATGGATTGGCGGAGAACGCTACAGTGGGTTAAAAATCGGGGTTGATTTGTCATTAGCAGTAAAGATTAACTTTTCTTCTTCTACCATGAACTTAGAGCACTGCACAGAGATTCCAGCTGATGTCATGCAGAAGATTATTTCTGACTCTGTGCCTTATTTCTTTGCTGTTAGTGACTATAAGGGAACTAATTGCCCTTCTTCAAATTTGTTGAAAGATCATCTGGGAGATTCGCATCGTGATGAGTATTTTTTTCGTCTTCGTTGTTCCCAGTCGTGTCTTGAACAGGCGCTGTTCCAACATTTTGGCCCTGAAGGAGGACCAACCGTGTGTTTAAGGGTACTCAAGATGTTGCGTGACATATCCACTATCGTTGACCTTGCTCCGCGCGAATTTCTACTGGATGCTAATACTAGCTTGCCAAACACCAAATTACAGAATTATTTTGGTTTTGATCTTCCACTGGAAAGCAACGGTTATTTTTCTTCATATGCGTTTAAAACTTTAGTGTTATATGAATGGAGTCAATACCCAGAAAAGAAATATTGGTCTGGAAGCTGTATGAGTGACCGCGTTTCTCAAATACTAGATGAGCTTCTTCTTTGCGTAAAGCACGGGGGTATGCGAAGTTTCTTTTATTCAGATTATAATGTTTTACCCGGAGATTACGACGAGATGTCAAAGGGGCAGGCTGATGCCATCAACTCAATAACCATCCTGCAGCACTGGATGACATCAAAAAGAAATGACACTGATTACAATTTCAATGACTGCATCCGAAGTGTGAAAGAAGATTCAAGACTTGCATGTCATAAAATAACGTTTACAAATTTGTCAAGTGAGACACTTAGAATGACTTTTAAGCAAGACCTGGAACTAGTGGTAAGTAAAGCAACTGGAATAGAACCCCCAGATCGAAATAAAACAAGGCAAACAAATAAATCATCTTTTAAGAAACAAATTCTGCTTTGGCTTCCATTTGCAATGAACCTTTTCTGTTTCTGTGAAATTTACATTCAAGCCTTAGTTGAAAAAGTTGCCCCAAAAGAGAATTTAATACTATTAAACCCCAGGAAACGCATCAAAGTCGATGAAGGCTTTACCAGAGCTTTAGACCTTTTCAAAGAAGTAGCTGTGACAAGAATGAACAGTCTTGGAGATAATTTACCCAATTACAACATCTGGACAAAGGAATTTAAACCAGGTGACAAAGAGATAGCCAATTTTGTGAAGTTCCTAACAGATATCTTTAGAGAAGATCTTCAGATCCTGCTAAATAAACTTTGAAATAGAACTTGTACACTAATGTGCAGAAGCTCAAAGTAAATAGGCATGGACATGATGATGATTAAGTCAGGAAAACTGAGTCAAGAGAATGAAGTAGAGGCCTTCTTTTAAAAAAAAACCCATACTTCTTAAGCAGGAGTAAGAATACAGAAATTCTGAGCCATATGCATCAAATTCAGTTGTCCAGGCCTACTGTGACTTCAAACTGTGAAATACTTGATTTAAACAACCATACAATGTTCAATAGATGATACTTCTCCAACTGAAGGAGTTGTCACACAACCTAATCATTTTGGGTCTGTGATTACTCTTTGCTGGAGTTCCTGCTAACCTGGTTGAGACACTCCTTAAACCTCTAGCCTAATCAATTTAAAACCCTACATCTTGTTGAGTTTTCAAAAATATGATTAATAAATGCACACCATTGCCATTTTATGGAAAGTTAAGTTTAATTACTCATAAATCTGTAATACATGTGTAAAAAGCCATCTTTACTGGGAGTCACTCAGTTCTGCTAAACACCATCTTTAGATGAATGCTTATTCACTATTTTAAAAGTGAATCATTTTTCATGTCACAAATGACTGGTCTGAAATCAAATGACCAAGAAGTGAATGATACTTCCACATTCACTACATTTCTTTCTCTTGAAAATGATTCCAACAGTCTCCACACAAGTTAAATAATTAATAGACAGTGTAAAATACTTCCAGCCACCTGGGAGGTTTCATTCTGGACCACCTCTCTATATTTGAAGGGAAAAAAAATTGAAAATCAGTCATGATAGCCCATGAAACTAACTCATGCCCATCCTAATGGGTCGATTAACTTGAAGCTTCAAAATCTTCCCTTGAGCACTAAAACTATTGAAGATTAGTTTTTCAAATTCAAGCCCCCTAGGGCAAAACATTTGTTCAAATCCCCCACCACCACCCTCAATGTTTCTGTATAAGGTGAGATTAGTGATCATGACTTTCTTAAATACCTTTTCTTCTTAGCTATGTGCCCACAAAAACAGAACTTTTTACCTTTGAACACCTCCATATCAAACGATAAAACAAGTTTATTCTATTGAAAAAGACTTCCAAGTTCAAGTTCAAGTTCAAATTCACCACCCCATCCAGGCTAGGTTCAAACTCCCAATCCCTAATCCCTCAGATATGCTTGACGATCAATTAACCATGGGTTGATGAAAAGGGGGGGAGAGGGGGAGATGGAATTTGGCTATTTGAAGTGATCAGTGCATGGGTGGATAACATGCATCAACCAAAAGTCTCAACCAGACTTGTCCCTTAGTTTATGATCCAGTAATCCCCAACATTTTTCACACACTTATCTTGTTACTGGTCTGATTTCTTTTCAGTCCCTTATTTCCAGGACAAAGGACCTTGCAGTCCATTAAATATCACCTCTGCTGAATGATATTATTATGACCCCTACTTTAATCTACTCTGTATGTCAGCAACAGTTTGACATATCAGCATATACCACACAGGTGAATAGTTCTTTTCCTGCCTGTTGACTGGCTGGTTCAGAGGTGAATAGTGAGTACTATTCACCTTCAAGCAACCAAAAGACAAAATTGTGCCTCCAGAGTTTAATTTCCAACCATCATTCAGTATGTTGAGATAAATAAACTAATTTTTTTATAACTGTGTGGTATAAACTAAAAACTGTTATTCACCTCAGTGTCAGTGAAAGTAGTGGATATTTTCCACTGCGTTTCACAACTTGATAAAAATCCACCACTTTTCACTTCCACTTTGGTGAATACTTGTTAACTATGGCTGTCAGCAAGTTCCAATAAGCCATTTGCAGGGTCTTACAGGGTGTACTTTTCAGAGGGGTTTCTTACTTAGTAAATGCATGTGATTTCCCTATTGTCAGTTTCTTTCTGCATCAGCTCAAGACTGTAAGCATTAATAAGGGACTATAGGTTCATGAGTGGGTTCAAGATGGTTATTTATTTTCACGACAACATTTTAGAAAGACATTGTACACCCTTTAACATTCCTTGTGCTGCAAATTTTCTAACAGCTTTTTATCTCACAGATATGCAAGTCCTGACATCCTTCCTCCCCCTGAATTTTCTAATTGAATGCTCTGTTACAGTCTCCACCCACCAATTCAAAATTCAAAATTGTTTCATGGGATTTAGATGATTCCAAAACAATAAAACAGATGATAAATGCAAATACAAAATACAATTAACCTTGAGACAATTAGCCTCAATATTTTGCCCTATAGTAGATTAAAATACTTGATTAGCCCTCTTCTACAGAAAAGTTTATAAAACTTAATTTATTTGGGAGATTTGGTAAACTTTGCATGAGATTTGTAATAGTTGACACAAATGCTTTGTATATGGAATCTCTCAGGGACATAGGGAAGTGAGAAACATGTCTGCATAATCTTACACTATCCTAAAACAAAAGCGTAGTCCTTAAGGCGATCTTTTCTTTTAGCCATTCTTTTAAACGAGAACTGTAATTATAACGAACAATGAGGTCATGAAAAGGAGATCCTGCTGCAGTGTCATTTCGAAAGGTTATTGTTTCTGTGAATAAATGGAAAATAAAGTCATTGTCCTAATGTGCCAATTTTTGTGAAGAAGTCCCCTTGTTCTAGTCTGCCAGGATTTTAAGATCAAACATGTAGATAGTAAAGTGAAACTATCACAATATCGCATCGTAAAAATTTCAGCTTGATATGATCAGGCTCACCTCAATATAATCAATTTCCTCTTGGGTTAGAAGTCTTCTTCTGTATCTTGCCGGTAAACTTTGATAAGCGAACGACTCATCGGCGGTCATAGAATTGGAACTTGTCGGTCGAGTCGCTGATTCTGCTGGTGTTGCTTTACTAGTGATCGCAGATAAAACTGACGAAATCTCCGGTGGTCTGTGTGATGAACCGGCTAGTGGTATGCAAAACGGAAAGAGAATCTCTAGGTTTGTTTCTTTTGTTAATAAAAAGAGATATAATTCTCATTTACTTACGTTCCATTTTTTGTTTTGCTCTGTTTGGAAATCTTATACTTGGTATATGTTTTTTCACAGTTTGAAAAATTCTACCGGTAGCGGACGCCATTTTGGGTCCGAAACCTACGCAGGGTGTTCTGGGATTCGTAGTCTCGAAAGTTATCGAATACATGCCGATTGTAACTCTAGAGTACGGAAAATCGCCGAACATGTCTGAAAAGTTTCCAACATGGCGGACGATAGTGCAAGTTCTGGTGATGCAGCTGGAGAGACGTGGATTCCAGCTTCTAGAAGACCTGATGGCACATGGCGTAAGGCTCGTAGAGTGAAGGACGGTTATGTCCCACCAGATGAAGTGGCAAAGTACGAAAGTAAAGGAAAACAATGGGCCAATAGTTTTTCGAAATTACCGCCTGGTGTACACGAGGAAGAAAACAAACAGCTCACGAAAAACCAGAAAAAACGTAAGAATAAAAAGAAAGAGGAGAGTGAACATCAAAGATGTGAAGTCGAGGAAGTTACGGAAAAATTGCAAAGTGCTACAGTTTCTAGAACCGCGACTGCAGCGGGCACAGTATACACTAGCAACCCGGACGATCTAAAATTAAAACGTGTCAAGAATCTCAGAAAGAAATTGCGACAGATTGAAGAATTACAAGAAAAAATTGACTCAGGAGAGTTAGTAAATCCAGAAGCTACACAGTTAGAAAAGCTTTCGAGAAGGGAAGAGATTGAAAAGGAACTTGCAGAGTTAGAACAGGAAGCATGAGACACTGAATGTTTTGATAGCACCACAATAAGACTAGCTTCAAAGAAGATTTGCTACTGTTTTATTACTGTTTGAAATCAAATTAAAATGCTTAGAGTTTTATTTTCTGTGCTCACGGATTGATTAATTGTGAAGGTGGTAGTAGGGGGTTAACAGGTTTGGATTAAATTGGCAGAGTTTGATTCTGAACGCAGACTTGGGTATCCTGTGTACCCATGATAATTAACAATTCAGTAGAGATGAGCATGCTTGTCTCCGTATTTAGTTACATGTTGATGAAACTCCCTGAGTGGATGGTAAGTTTTGGTGGGGAAGGGCAACCATGTTTCTGATGTCTCTATTCCTCCAACTCTCTTGAAACCTGGGTGGGGAAATGAAATGGGATATTTACCTCGACTTTCAACAGAATCCATGAATCCATGTTGTTGCTCAAGGTGGAAAATGATTCTCCCATAGTCATTAAGATTTGAAAGTTGAAGGCTTATGAGAGCCAGATGGTTAACAGTAAGCTAGCCCGTTCACATTCATTTCCATCTCAAACACCTTGCCACTTCAGAGCTTAATTTCAGATTCAACACTCATCACTTTAAGATGCACCTTATAATGCCACTGAAGAGTTTCCCCTCTTAGCATAGAGAATTAGGATAAATGCTGAATAAGCTGGCAAGATTGGAAACTGGTCAGTGGCAGAGTCCACCAAGACAGGCTCATATTTCATCCTGCTCTCCAGCTATTGGACAAAAAGGAAAGGGAAAAGAACAAAAGAGTAGTGAGGAATGGCCTTCACCCATTTGTGTGTGCCATGGAGGCTCATTTGACTCCAGCACAGATAAGGGTACCTAAATGCATTTACTTTGGCTGACAAAACATCAATTACCTGGAACTTCCTTACAACAGAGGAAACAATACTTTTATTGAAATTCATCATGAAAATTTTTATCTGTGGTCAGCTACATGTGCAGCATGACATCTCTCACTACACTAAATATTTAAAAATTATTAATTCTATCATATATATTACATTCGAGTCATTCTCTTTCATATTTCATTTATAACATTTCTTAGAAATAAAGTGTTTTTGTGCTCTGACATGAATTACAAGATAATAGTAAAAAATTAAAAAACACAAATGAAAATATGAAACATCTCTTTCATGGTAACACAAAAACAGATCCTTACCAATTTTGTCAAACAATTTGTGAAGAAAAAATCTGATACTTTACAATCATTTTTAATAACCCTTCAGAGGTACTTTTATGACATATCAGTAATAATAGTAATAATAATCATAAAAATTACAATAATCTTCATGCCATGTGATAGTAATTTTAAAGTTAATTAGATTGACCTACATATGCTGTGGTTTGGAATAATTTCAAGTTAAAATGAATTCAAAATAGTTTGATTTCCATTACATTTTCTCAAGGATTCTGGTAATGTATTAGGAACATACTAGAGAAATAGATATCAAACTAGTTTGAAACCGCTTTGACTTTTAACCAAAACATATACAGTGAAACTTAATAATCACTTTACTATGCAATTCACAAAACTCACAATCTTTCATACATTTCTCTCAAATAAAATGAAAAAACAATTATTTCATAAACCTAAGTATTTAACTTCATTCCTAGTGGTATTCAATCATGTTACAACAGTCAAACTTTCCTTTGCGACCACCCATTATAAGCGACCACCTCTTGTTAGAGACCACCTCTTCAAAATACCAAAAGTTTCTGAGTCAAATCACTATAAATAGAACCTCTTGTAATCCACCACCTCTCATAAGTGACCACCTCTTGTAAGTGACCACTTTTAGAGATGCTTGTTTCCAAAATCTCTCACAAACAGAAACTGAAAACTGTTTCATATGATGTCAAAAAAGTGGAGCTAGCAGAATTGTTCCCCAAAATAGCTTTACCACATAAATTCTTGCTCGTGTCACATTTCAGCAAAAATTTTGACAGCACCATTTGGAGTAACCAAGTCTCTTTAATGTGAATTGTCCCAAACACTGTTTTAAATAATTTGTGAGATAATTTGCTGATAAAGAACCATATTGTCATATCTTATTCTGATATATATTACAGATAGAATAATTACTAATCAGATCTTGGAAGTTAAAAGATTTAATTGACTTCAATTAATGTTAATCATTTGATTTCAAAATTCCTTATTTCTTGAACATAAGAAACTGTCAGAATGAAATCAAGTGCAGAGCCCTACAATTAATTACTAACCAAAAACATGTATTATTGATATTTAACCCTTTAGACTTGAGATCTAAAGAGTAATTCTCTTCTTCAGATTTGGGAAGAATATTTTTGTTGCATCATGATCACGCATTCTAAGGGTGCAAACTTTGTCTATTCTGAGCTCCTCTTTGTAAATTATGTTACATCAAAATTTCATTCTCCTAATGATAGGTTTGTCTATTCTTGTTACCCATTTGCTGATAATGTACTGATAGTGTGTAGAGAATCTCTGTACCAATCATCTCTGGGAATTAAAGGGTTCTTGTCAAACTCAGAAAACCATGAACACCTGAAAGACACCCCAAAATTGTTTATCCTGTTGTGACAAAAGATATATCATGCCTGATAATTAATCTGTATTGCCAGCCCTCAAGGTTTTTCTGAGTTTCACCGTAGATGTTGCACCCTTGAGCATGATATCATAAGCAAGATGAGACAAAAAGGTATTGTACTGGTTGAATAACTTGGGCCAGTAACAAAGTAATTATTTTAATCAATAAACATATATTGTAAATTCTATTTGCCAGCTTGATTTTCAGCTTGAAATGACTGAAGAGAGAGTGGAGGAGGCAAAGAATCATGGGACAATTGGTGAACTGTTCTGTCAGCACTCTGGTAAGTTAAACCTCCCTTTGCTTCCATTTGTCTGAGAATATAAGTACGAATACACAAATAAACAAACAGCTTTAGGCTTTCATTGCCATCCAATAGAAAAAACTGATTTCAACATGTAACAGATTATGTCTCATTTAGACTTCACATAGGTTTTTAAGAGAGGACATTTAAAGGAAACCTAATGAGCCATTTTACAGTTGTGTGCTTAGTAATTTCAAAAAGAGGGTAATGTGGACATTCAAAGCTTTTTTCAAATAATTATCTCTCCCAGTTACTCACTAACAAGGCAATAATTCAGTGATTTGGAACTATTTTCACAATGCAATAACTATTAATAATTATGTCCGCCACATACTTCTTTTGCTATTAGAATTAAGTTATGGATCAAACATTAGCCCTTTGACACTTTTTTTTTCTTCTTGTTATATTTCTTCTTGCAAAATAATTAAATAAATATACAAATGCTGTCAAGTGAAATCCTGTCTGGGTCACTCTGAATGACAGGAATGAGGATACCACAATTCTGGTGGACCTTTT